AACTTTATTCCTGGTGTACCGAAGTAAAACCTTTAAATGAATTTATAAAATGTGCATGTACTTGCTCACATGAAAAAACTTTTGTGTAATCCTCTCTAACCTGTGGCTCTGGTATTGTGGTGATATTCTCAGTGGTCAAGACCTTCTCTTTCTCCTCCTCCTCCTCCTCCTCAGCTACCATGTCTCCTTCCTGGTGGTCGTTCCGCTGTGGAGCCTTTTGTTGTATGCTAGTAGAACCAGCTGTCTCTTCAGGCAAATGGTCTGGATCAGTCTGGTCCTTTAGTGTGCTATACTGGCTAGAGCAGTAGTGATCGTCTGCTATGGTGATCTCTTCATTCTCCTCTGACTCCAGCTGGCTCTGGTTGAATCGGAGAGCCCCCTTCAGGATGTCCTTAATCTGGGACAATATGGACAAAATTAGATCTGTAATTCAATATTAGATCTAACAGATCTCTAATAGATTTTATCACCCTGAAATGTTTGTGTACTAATTACATGGGTACTTACCAATAAACAAATAAATGAACATAATACAAATGTTGTATATATTTACTAGTTATCTTCATACTATTTTTTTTTTTAAATCCAAATTTATTTGAGCAAAGTAGAGACCTGATTCATACCTGTTTTAGTCCAGCAAGTGACACCAGAACCTCATCTTCCTTCTCCAGATGCTCCTGCAGTATCACATCTTGAATTTTGCCTGTCCATCAATCAAAGCACAATCATTACCATTCCACCACCAGCGTTTGTTTAGTGCCGAGACGACTAACTGGCTCACTGACTCACCTATGTGCATGTTCATCATCTTGGCACAATATTTACTCATGGCCTCTAGGTCATTAATCTGACCCTGTAAGAATGACACCTGGGCCTCCAGCTCCTCCTGTGTGTAAAAATACATATGTATAAATTAGCATACATATAGGACCTATTAAACACAAAAACAGGAGCTAGAACATAATATCCTAGTAAATCACATGCTATCTGAAAATAAAAGAATGAACACAAAATTAGAGTCTGGGAATGCAAATGGTAAAGTTGAAGAGTAAACATGATTACAGCAGTTGCAAAGAGTAAAGATGCCGCTTACCGCATCCTTCTTGTTTATAGTCTTACTGTGGGACCGTGAGCGACTGATGTTAAAGAAAGAGTCTTTCTTTGTGGCAGAGTGGGGAGGAGATGATGTGCTGGAGTCTCGGCCCCTTGACACTGGGAGAGGAGGGGAAGACATGGCATGATCCCGCCCACCAGACAAACTTTCAGTGCTGGGGGAGGAGCTAACCGTCCAGGAGGTGTGGCCTGTAAGGTAGACATTACAAGATCAGTCATAAAAATGTATTTCAGACAGCAAGACCAAAGGTAACAGAACAATTTTAACATAACATACAGTAAGCTACATAAATAGCACAAAGAGTTTGAGACAATCACACAGCATGCAGTAAATCACAGATACAGATAAACCAGTTCACATGACCTAATAAAAACAGCAGGATCTCACTTGTACTATGAAGATGACTAATAAGACATGTTCACAGAAAGTTCAGAGAATAATTATACCTTCATCCAAAAGAAATTAATACTTTTATTTAGCAAGTATGAATTAATTTAATCAAAATGACAGCAAAAACAGTGTTAAACTTTTTATTCATCCAAAAATGCTGAATACAGATGTATCAGGATTCCCACCAAAATATTAAGCAGCACAACTGTTTTCAATATTGATAGTAGCTAATTTTTTATTGAGCAGAAAATGTATATTTCTAAAAGATCATCTGACACTTAAGACTGGAATAATGATGCTGAAAATTCAGCTTTGCCATCACATGAATAAATTGCAGTTTAAAATTTTACAAAAGAAAATGGTTATTTTAAATTGTAATACTTTATCACAATAGTACTGTTTTTACTGTGTTTTTTAAACAAATGCAGTCTTATAAATGCAAATAAATGCAGTGTTGGTGAGCATAAGAGACTTCTTTCAAAAACAGAAAAAAATAATCCTATCGACCCCAAACCTTTAAACATTAGTGTAAATTAATTACTTTAATTTATTACATAGTATTTGCACATAGTAGCCTGGTGACAAAAAGCAGCACGACTCAAAATACATGATTACACCAAGTTTATTTGAACACTGACACACATGCATGGATTACACAGCAGACACGTCACAGTGAAAGCATGCCAAAAAAAAAAAAAAAACCCTTCCAAAAAGCAGGATCAAATAAAATGCATTTAGCGCACATGATTATACCTTCATCCAAAAGAAATTAATACTTTTATTTAGCAAGTATGAATTAATTTAATCAAAATGACAGCAAAAACAGTGTTAAACTTTTTATTCATCCAAAAATGCTGAATACAGATGTATCAGGATTCCCACCAAAATATTAAGCAGCACAACTGTTTTCAATATTGATAGTAGCTAATTTTTTATTGAGCAGAAAATGTATA